TTCTGACTTCCTTCACAGAATCCCTGCTAGGAATTGTCCTTATGCCATGCCAGTCAGCATAAAGCCAGGAATCAGCAAACAGAGAAATAGACCAAAGCCACTACATTTCTGCCACTCTGTCCTGCCAGTCTATGGGTCTCTTCCTCTCCAACTCCACTATCTGCCTCCCCACTTCACCATCAAGGGAGCCGTGGCACAATAAGAGACTGAATCAGATTCACAGTCCTGAATAAATGTCCAGGGGCCCCCAGAAACAAAGAAGCACAGACTCATGATATCATCTGATGAATTTTAAGTTGTGCCAATATTCAATCTAGCTAATTATGGCAAAACATAACTGTAACAACAAAATAACAAAAACCCACATCATCTGAATAATCCTCACTGTCAGTATGAACAAGCACCCAAGTTACTGGATTGTTAGGAAACCCTGTGCTTTGTTTTGGCAGGGTGGGTGTGACATTTTGCATTCCTTCTCCCTCTTATTAATAAGAAGTAATGTGATATAGTATCGTTATCTTGACAGCAGAGAAGTCATTTCACTGGGAGCTGCTGAAGTTTACTTATCAGCACATAAACTAATTTTACACAGTTCCTGAGCTCATTATTAATCATTACTATCTCTGCAATCTCGTGTTTTATTTTTATCTTCTCATAACACTTACATTTTGCATTGTGATTACTTGTGTTTGTGTCTGTCACTGCCACCAAATTGTTAACCCCTTGAGAGCAGAATCTAGGTTCCAGTTTATCTTCTGTTCCTCTCTCAAGGTCTAGGGCAGAGTTTTGTAAATACTAAATGAATAATACATGTTGAATGAATGAATGAGTGAATGAATGAATGAACCAATTGCCCAGGAAAACTAATGGCCACCCTACAGATTCTTATATAGAATCTGTTCCAGCTGACATTGTGTATTTGTTATCTGTGGATCAAAGGAAACCAACTACAATCTAAGAGCCATCAGTATCTTAACTTGGCTGCCACGAATTTATTTCTCGCTAGTCTACCCCCTAAAACTCCCAAAGCTACTGTCAATACCTTTTAACCAGAATCATCTGTGTATCTGGAAAGTGGCGAGTTAGAAAAAGCTATAATGTATATATAATACAATAATAAGTCACATAAATAAATATCTGTTCATCATTATTTTTCATAATTTATAGCATTTTTCTTCTTGTGAAATACAGCCTTGTCATAGTCTCTTCTAGAGAAGGGCTAGCTAGGGTGGTTAACTTCCTGTCTCAAAGTTTGTGTGTCTGAAAAATACCTTTGTTTCACATTTGCATTTGAATGCTAATTTGGCCAGATACAGACATCTCCATTCCTATTTGCTATTTTGTTTTCTTCTGTTTTGTTTTTTAGCACTAGAGGTTCCTTTTCCAGAGAGGTTGATGAGCAGTCTGCTTTAAACCAGATTCTTTTTTTTTAATTTTTTAAAATGTTTTTATCTATTTTTGAGAGAAAGAGACAGCGTGAGCAGGGAGGGTCAGAGAGAGAGGGAGACACAGAATCTGAAACAGACTCCAGGCTCTGAGCTAGCTGTCAGCACAGAACCCAACGCGGGGGCTCGAACCTCCGAACTGTGAGGTCATGACCTGAGCTGAAGCCTGACGCTTAACTGACTGAGTCACCCAGGTACCCCTCTAAATCAGATTCTTGATTGTTAATAATATTTTTCTTCTCTGATAAGTTTTGGGATTCTTTTCTATATTTTGAGGTTCTACAATTTTTTTTTACATTTTTAGTACCTGGTAGCCCTTTCATTCTGAAGTCTGTCTTTTTTTTTTTTTTTTTTAGTTCTAAGAAATTCTTAGATATTTGTCCTTTAACCATTGGCTCTTCTTCCTTATCTCTATTTCTCCTTTATAAACTTCTATTTATTAGATATAAGTAAATCTAGAGCTAATCTCTGATTCCTTTCTTTTAAACTTTAGAAAGTTTCTCCTTTTCACCTTTTATTCTGGAAGAATTCCTTAGCCTTGATCTTCCTAGCTGACTAATTTGCCCTTCTGTTTTTTCATTCTGCCACTGAACCATCCATTAGGCTCTTAACGGCAACAATTACATTTCTTCCTTTTTTAGATCGCCTTGAGTCTGTTTTATAAAAATAAAGGTCCTGTTGTTTCACGGATATAATGCCATCTTGTATATCTCTAAAGATATTAATCACTCTTCTTATAACATTTAATTCTGAAGCCCTCCAAGCTGTAAAGGCTCCTGGTTCTGGTCTTTCTCCAGGTCGGCAGTCCTCATTATTTCTGGTTGTTCCCAACGGTGAGCTCATCTTTTCTAGACTCTCAGCCCTGGGCAGGAGGTCCTGGAAGAGGGCTGAACAGCTGTGGGTGCTCATGCTCCTTACTGTTCTCAGTGGGAACAGGGGACGGGCAGAGCTGAGGACAGTAGCTGGCCTTCAGGGCTTCTCTGGTTCCCAGTTTGTCCTGGATATCATCAGCTACCTGGGGCCTTTCCCTATTTCTCCGTCTTAAATGCTGACCTAAACACTGGGTGGAGCAGAGAAGGAGTGAGCAGTGATTCACAAGAGAAACTGCACTCACTACCATGGCTCTGTCAAACCTTCACAGGCTGTTCCCAGCCCTCTCTTGCTCCAAGGTGCCGCCATATCTAGTCATGTAGCTTGTATGGTGCAGTGCTCAGGTCTTGGTCTACCTTTCCTCTTACCCATCTTAATCCCACCTTTCAATCTACCTGGAACTCCCAGAAGCCTCTAGTCCCCTGAGAGGTTTACATCTTATTCTTGGGTGTAGCTAGAGATTCAGATGTTTCCTTGTATTAGTTCTATAATTCCTCAGACTTAGTGCAGTGGAGGAAACGGACATCTTGAAACCACCACGTGCAAAATCTTATCCTTAAATTGAGCCTCCTGAACAACATGTGGGATATACCAGAATTAGAGAAAACTCTGGTACTTAGTTGATGTGTTGGCCATTTGCCTATTTGCTCTTGGATCCAATTTGTACTTTACCCCTCTTTGACCTGCAACACAGGAAACCACATTCCCTGACTCTCTTAGCAGGGAGAGTCTGATTTCTGGGCAAGTTTATCCAGTGGGACAAGGAAGTGTTGTGAGAGAGAAGCTAGAGTTCCCTGCCAGGATGACATCTCTGATAGCACCTGTGGCTCTCTGGTGGTCCCAGCCTATGTGGGACAACACTCACTATGGGCTAGCTCTGACTGGTCAGCTCCAGTCTTAGACTCTGGTAACACAAGCTTCTACCATTGTCCCTTCAATCTCAGGAGTATTGGGGCTCCTGCTGCTCCTGATGTCTGGGGTGCTGCATATTTCCTACAATGCCACCTCCCATACAACAAATTTCCCATGTTAAATTCCTTCTGTAGAGAGGCCTAGAATGGTTTTCTTTTCCTGGCTGAACCCTGATGTGAAGATCAAAATTCTGCAGAGGTATCTTCAAAGATAATTAATTGATAATTCCTCTCTTTGAGGGGAAGGGAGCATCAAAATGAGGGAATTTTCAACTTGATTTTCTCAACATCTAAGATATCCCAAGTTATTTCAAGGAGTGTCATGGAATTCTTTAAAATGTGAATTTTGGCAATGTATTTCACATTAACTGCATATATGCCACAAAGCAAATTTACAAAGAAAGCTTAGGAGGCTCTCCTATTATTAAACAGAGTGTTCTAGAATTACAAAATGCTGTGGCGCCTGGGTGGCTCAGTCAGTTGAGTGTCCGACTTCGGCTCAGGTCATGGTCTCGCGGTTCATGGGTTTGCGCCATGCATCGGGCTCTGTGCTGACAGCTCAGAGCCTGGAGCCTGTTTCAGAGTCTGTGCCTCCCTCTCTCTCTGATCCTCCCCTGCTCATGTTGTCTTTATCTCTCTCTCAAAAATAAATAAAATATAGAATTACAAAATCCTATCCTAGAAGAGTGAAACTTTGATTATAGCAGAAAGCTTCTTTGGGATACTTCGGTGGCCCAGCCAGTTAAGCGTCTGATTCTTGATCTCAGCTCAGGTCATGATCTCATGGTTCCTGAGTTTGAGCCCACATTGGGTACTGTGCTGATGGTGAGGAGTCTTCTTGGGATCCCGTCTCCTCTTTCTCTGCCACTCCCCAACTCGTGCACACACTTCCCTCTCAAAAATAAATAAATAAGCTTAAAAAAAAAAAGAAAAGCTTGCTTAAGTCTTCTCAATTTTTAGACCTACCTCTAGGTACAACCATGAAATAGTTAAAAGAAAATACTTTCATCATCTCTATTATTTACCACTTTCTCTGTTGAGAGAGGGTTAGGTAAAATGGTTGTAAACACTTAGAAAAATCTTGTATATCTCTATTTCTCCTTTGGAAATAGAGAATATCACTTCCTTCTAAGTCCAGCCCATTATCATCACTCCACAAATGCTCCATAAGTCACACGGAAACAAGAAAGCCCACCATTGTGGTACATGATCAGAGAGAGAATGAGAGCCACATTGTGCCACTGACAGGCCACGTGGCTCTGAAAGATGCCACACTTATCTAAAGCCTTGAATACCTGCTTTTATTCCCATTTTAAGTGTTTGAACTATAATATATGGGCCATCTATTTATTAAAGGAGAGAGCTTACCTTGGCATGGGACAAATTGGTGCTTGCAGCAAGATGCTTTTTAATACAAAGGACATTTCTTGAATTCCATTCAGATCTGAGATCCACAGCATACGAGGGGTTGGCGTATATGTTTTTAAATTGCATGACTATTATACATCCCTTCTCTTCAACTGGCATGAGAAGGATATTCTCATCTTTTCTATGCTTTGTTCTTTACTTCCTCAAAGCTGAGGCCGCAAAAACACTGCCAGCCTTATCCAGCTTTTCATGGAAAGCCGCCACTCTTAACTGGCGCCTAAATGCAATTTCAGACTGTCCCAGGAGACCTTCGTGCTTTGAGGTGAATTCATAATGTTAGGGCCAACAAAGAAGTTAACACAAACTTTCACTGTTAAAGAAAAAGAAAAAAAGTCTGCAGGCTTACTGAAGGAGCTCCGCGTCCATGAGCGCCTCTGTCCTCTGCTCCCCAGTGACAATGGCCAGTTCATCCTTCAGCTCCTGGATTTCTTTTTGTAGGCGTATAATCATCTACAAGTGGCAAGGCGGGAGAATAAACGTCACCTTCTCATTAAGGGGAACTTGGTGACAGAGAACATACATCTTTGAAAATTACAAACTATTTTAAGGACACAAAAACATATAGAGAATGATCTAAAAGCCACCGCTGTACCTACCACCCAGCTTTCAACATTTTGTCAAAATAGTTCTATAATTTATTTTAACAAATAAAACAGGTAACTGGAGCCCCTAATTCTTATTCCCTTTCTGTCCTTCCTGGGGTGATCACTGTACTGCATTTAGTGGGGAGTGTCTCCCTGCATGTTTTCATGCCTTTCCTCCATCTATACCTGTAGATGGAACTGTAAAAAATATATAGTATCATTTTGCATGCTTTAAGCTTATGTAAATGTTACCATACTACATGGAATCATAACTTATTTTTCTTTTTGGAGATTATTTATACTGCTGCATGTGGCTCTAGGTCATTAATTTTTATGGATATATACTGCTTCAGTATAGGACTATGTCTCAATTGATCTCTATCTCTTGTTGATGGACACTTAGGACTTGAGCTTTTGCTATTATAAACAAGGTGGCTGTCAACACAATAAACACGTCTCTGGGCACATACGTTGAGTTTCTCTAATGTGTGCACTTAGAAATGAAACTGTATAGTGGGAGAGTATGTGCATCCCCCCTTCAGTATGCCTTGCTCTTCAGAGTACTTGCATAAACTTAGAGTCTTCATCCACAAAATACAGTTCCTGTTTGCTCACATTTACTTCACTATGCATGGAGTATTGGCAGACACTTTAATTTTGCTGGTCTGGAAAGGTGTAAAAGGGCACCCTTGTTTAGTTCAAATCTCCATTTTCTGATGACTGGGGAGGTTGGTCATCTCCACACGTGTATATTGGCTGTTCAGTTTTCTCTTCTGTAAATCACTTGTTTATATTCTAGTTTATGTTTCCACTGAGTTGTTTTTCTTTTCCTTATGGAAAGCCTTATTATGCAGGCTCCTTTATAAATGAACCTGTTATTAGTGTTATGTCAGGTACATGATTTCTCCCAATCTATGCCATTTTGTGGTATTTTTTGGTTAAGTTAAAGTTTTAAATTTCAGTATGATTTCATTATTGACTTCTTCCATTATGAGTTGTATTTTTGTATCTTCATAAAGAAAATCTATTTTCTACCTAAAACTGTAGGAATATTTTCCTATATATTCTTATAAAAGTTTTAAAGCTTTAGTTTTCACATTTAGGCTTTTATTTTGTATAAAGTATGAGATATGGATCTAATTTTATTTTTTTTATAGCAGCTAACCAGGAAAGATTTGATATTATAATTCTGTTATATAACATATTTCTACATATAAATGTGTCCTTTTCTGGACCATTGGTTAAAAACATTTATGTACTTGACTATACGTGAAGCAATACTATGCTATTTTAATGTTATATCTTAGGAAATTTTGGCAGCTAGATAGAACAAGCCACTTTTATTTTATTCCTTTCCAAAATAGACATGGCTATTCTTGGTCATTTGTTCTTTTGTATAAGTTTGAGATGTAGCTTGTAAAATTTCTGCAAAGGTCCTCCTCCTCAATTTTTAGCCAGAAGTAAATTTGATTAAAAGAGTAATTTGGTAAGACTTATCAAGTTAGTCATGTTGAATCCTCTCATCCATGAACATAGTATGGCTTTCCACTGGTTCCTTTTAATAAAGATTTATCATATTTTCTATTAATATGTTTAGAATTTTCCTAGAATTTTAGAGTTTTTGTTGCTATTGTAAATTAAGTTTTTGTATAATTCCATCTTCTAATTGTTAGCTTTTGATTTATAGGAGACAATTAATTTTTATGTATGTACCATTTAATTTCCTGAACATTGTTTTGTTTCCATTTATCATTAAATATTCTTAGATGTTCTATATAAGCAATTAAATTATCTGTAAGCAATGACAGATGTTTTCTTCTTTTCAAATCCTCATACATTTTCTGTCCTAGCTAGGGCTTCCAAATACAATGCTTCAGATATTCTGGTCTTATTCCTTCTAACATTTACCCTTAAAATATTTCCTGTTGTTTTTGGTTGATACTCTTAATCATTTTAAGGATCTTCATCAATATTCATAGTTTGATGAGTCTTTTTAAACTATGGAATAATGTATAATGTTATCAAATACTTTTTCTGTATCTAGTAATGTGATAATATAATTTTTCTCTTTTAAACTGTGAATATAAGTCACCTTTATTCATGTGATTTTTTTTCAGTATGAACTACTTCCGGTGTACAAAAAGACTTAAAGGATACCTTGTAAACCCACTAGCTAGCTTAAGTGAATACCTATATACCTACTACTTACTTAAGAAATAAAACATAACTCTTTTGAAACCCAAACCTCTGTATAGCTTTCCCTAAATGAATTCCTCATTACAGTTACCTGAAATTTGGTATTTATTTTTCCCATGGCACTTATTCTTTTACTATACGTTAACATGTTTTCTGATGATAGGTTGCTGTTAAATTCCCAAAATAAACCCAATAGCTCATGATGCCATATACCATATTAATAATCATATGGTCATAATGCAAAGTTCCTAAAACAAAAATTAGCAGGTTGAATTTAATTTATATTCTTCCTTCACTATTTGGCCAACTTAAAAAGACATCAAATCTGGGCCATCATTCCTTCCTTCCTGTCTTTTTTTCTCCCTTCCTCCATCACCTCTCTCCTTCATCTTTCTGTTTTTTCTGTTTCTCTGTTTTTCTTTCTCTCATTTTGGTAGCTTTGTTATTATTGAGTCTATTCAATGTCATACATCTATTCATGTTTTTTTTTTTTAATTCTTCTTGCATTAGTTTCAGTGTTATGTTTTTGTAGGACATTGTCTATTTTGTTTGTTTCCAAATACAGTCATAAAGTCATTCAAAATACTTTATTATTGTTTTAAGATATCCACTGTGCGCAAAGGTAAGTTCCCTTTTCATTTCAAATATTGTATCAATTTCTGACTTCTTTATTCTTCTCTTTATTAATCTTTCCAGAAATTTGCTCATTTTATTATTAGACTAAAAAATCAACTTCTGGTTTTGTTGCTCTTCCTCACTGTATCTCCACTTTGGGTTTTGTTTCACTCATTTTCACACTTTAACGTCTATCTTACTACTGTTTTGGATTTATTTTTCTCTCTCATCTATCTAACATCATGGCTTGGGGTCTACCAGACCAAGGGAGTTTGTAAATTTGAACTTCAAACCCATGTGTAGCAGAGCTTTAGGATTTCAAATTTTCAGAGAAACCATATTTTGCTCCACCTAAAGTCCGGGCTAAGGCAGACAAGCTTCACTAGCATCTCCCTATGTCAGTGGACGGGTTTTTTTTTTTTCCCTTTCTGGTTCACCTTTTCACTGGTTTTATGTTGGGAAGCAGAGAGAATGTCATGGGTTCATTATCTGTCTTCCAGGGTTCCAGGGCTTCAACTCTGATGTTTTTCTTACAATTTCCTTCACCTCTTCTACCCTGGGACAACTGCAGCCTCAACTTTGCTACTGGGCTCTGGAGAATCCTCTTATTTACTTCATTCAGCTGCAGATATATATGTCAAACATGCTTGTCAAATTTTATGGAGGTGGGTTTTGGATGATGTCTGCCAAATCAACAAGACCTGATGTTCCAAAGAACATGGTGACTGGGTATTTTGAACATGTCAGTGCTCCTGGAATTTCATTTAAATGCACAGGATTGAGTGGGTTTTGGTTGTTTGCTCCTTTTCAAAAATATGCTTGGAATCATCGGGCTCTGCAGAGTGAAAATCCTTAGATAGGAACTATATGAGTCATTCATTTGTATTTGACATGCCACCCCCCACCCACTCCTGCTCCACTAAATTAATACTGATGCCATATTTTCTATGTCTGCTAAGGCTTTCAAAGTCAAATGTAACAACCAAATTATCTTCTGTTACTGAACAGAAATCTCAAAACTAAGCCAACTTTTCATGATTCTGAGTAGTCACATCTCCCATCAAATTAGTGTAGAAACTTTGGAATGAAAGCCATCCTTGGAAGATTTTGGGCCATGCCAAGTCACCACAGACTCTGGCTTGTTTACAGTTCTTTTATCATATTGTCTTCCTGAGATATTAATACTCGTAAAGAAAACAACTCAAATCCTTGATGATCCTGCTCTCAGAGGGCTGGCTTCCCGTGTGCCATTGGATTTGATAGTAAGATACTGGAAATCCCATCCAAGTTGTGTTTTAGGTGGTTTTGAGGACAAATTTGTAAATGTCACTTGTGCCTCAGAAAAGGTCTGTACATAAAGTAATGAACAGTAATGTCAGTTTCTAGAAGCCAATAAAGGGGCCAGGAGATAATACTTATCAATTACCAGATTATCCTGCACCAGGAAGATCTCAACATTTGTTCAATTATCAGCTATCAGCTTTGATTAGGGTTTCTCTTTTCTTTAAAGTTTCTTACGAGCCCTACATCAAACACATGATAATGTTCACCTTTTTTTTTCCACATTCCTCAAGTTCCTTCAAAGAAAAGTTTCCCTAGTCAAACTTAAAGAAAAAAAACCTCTAGTGTCTAATATGTTTATTTGCCTTCAGTTATGTACTAATTTTTGTCTTCGGGCTAACAGCTCATTCCTGTCTTTCTCAGGCTGCTCAGAGACGCTGCCAGGATGCTTGCTGGAGAGGGAGGGATGGTAGAAGAATTCATCCTACAAGTTCCATTCCACTTGACTCATGCCTTTGAATTCCAACTCCTTCTTCCAACAGGGAGTGGGGGGACACTGTGTTATGCTGTTGTTTCACGAGGGCCTGTACTAGAAAGAGACCCTGTTTCACCTATATGGTTTCTCCAGAAGAGATTTCCATCAGGGCAGCTTAAGCTCCTGAGGAGAGGAGAGTAAAACAAATAACTTCATTATTCCCTTTACCTCCTTTACCTCTACACTTTAATGCAATGATTTCAGGGGAGATAGGGCACACAATCAAAAGGAAATAATTAATATGGGTAACAATGAATTTGAGAAGGTTTTTTATTTTTTTAGAATTTGGGAAATTTGTAAATGAAGCACTGTTGGTAAGATTTCACATCCTTTTTATAACACTTATAATGCTAAGCTCATGCCAGCTTCTGTGCTATAGAAAATTTTAAAAGCTGAGTGATTTGAAAAGTAATATAATCTTAATTTGGGAATGTACAAAACTGAAATATTCTATTTCAACATCTTCAATGTTGGCATAAGTTGATTCCATGTTGTATTTCATTTTAGAGAAGCCTAACAAAATAAAGAGAAAACAACTGCATTTAAAATGAGGATCTGAGTCATGTAACTTGCAAATATTTTTGCCTTAAAAAAGCACTTTGATAAGGCAGGGCTCATTGCTATAAAACTAGAAGCTTGGCTATTTTTCCACGGACCAGACCCATGATGAATATTTCTTTAATCTCTAAGTAACAGGACAATTATGCAAAATATGGTTCTACTTAATAATAACCATTAGAACTTCTTTTTCTCTGTTAGCTTTTATAATGGATGGTCTATTATTATTATCTCTAGAAAGTTAAACAGATGTTTTCTGAAAGGCTAACCAGCTGCATCTAACATAAGTGGATGTGACTGCATCACACGCGTCCTCGGGACTCACTGCACATCTTGGTAGCGGACTGATGGGGCTGCAGGTGGCAAGGCCTTGAGTCGGACTCCCTGCATCTGAATCCTGGCTCTGCCGTTATGGTGCTGTGACTCTCCACAAGTTATTTAACATTTCTGTGCCTCAGTTTTGTCATCCGTCCAATGGGGAATGAAGGGAACATCTACTCATAAGGTTGTCATCAGAATTAAATAAATTAATACAATTCCAACACTTAGAACACTGCCTGGTACAGAGGACATGCTCCTTGAGTTTTGCTCGTCTTTGACATACTTTGATTTTTTTTTTTAACACAGTAAGTTAAAAGTGGCTTACCAATCTGGGATCTATTTCTTCATTGAGAACAGCCTCATTCTTTATAAGAGCCACTCGTTGTGCAAATCTGCACGTCGATATAGACTCCTAAGGAAGGAAAATAACTCCTTAAAATATTATGACTAAAAGAGAGAAAACTTAATTTTTGCTCACGGAAAAAAGACACACCCTAAAGAGTGATGTGTATAAAATGCAATGAGGTTTCAGACTGACTTCCAAATTAGAAAGCTTTCCTCTAGAATGTAATTTTAATGAAAATCTTAATAAAAAATTTATTTTGGTTTAACAATATGATCAATGCCAAAAATGTGGGAGATTGTGAGGTCCTGAGTGGCAACTGGTATGTCTCTTCCAACTACTGATCTATTCAACCAGAAAACTACATATACAAATCATAATCATAGCAGGTACTATTATAATCCACAAACATGAGAGACTACAAAATAAACATTTTAATAGACCAAAAAGAAAGGCTTTTCAAGGCATCTTAGAATGCACTTGGGGCTTGGCTTTGTTTTGAAAGATACCCTACCACTTCCTACTTTCCTCTTTGGGAGAAAGTCTAGAACCGAGCATTCAACTGAAATGCATAAAACGCCAAGCTAACTCTAAAGTAACCCAGGAAAGCCAGTCAGCAGCCAGCCCATGAGCAGCCTGGGCACTGCACTCAGCGACATGTCCAGGGACACCTCACAGAGGTGCCTCCAAGGTATCTCAGTAATCAGGAGCAAAATGGAAGAGAAGTTAATGGGTCTCTTCTCTTGTGTCTTCTGGCCAACATTACCAACCTACCAGTGGACTTCCCAAAACTTGTGTACGAGCCTTCTTCCCACTGTCCTGCGCTATGTGAAGTTCATTCTCAAAAGGGTAATTATAATGCAAGCAAACAAACAAAAGCTGTGAACTCTGTAGGGTATTTGTGTCTGAAACCAGCTGAAAAGATAGAAGCCCACGCAGGACCTTCAACTCCATCTTATAAACTATCAACAGAAACTCAGACTGAGATCTCCAGAAGGAACCAACATACATCGATATTCCTTTTCTCTAAAGAGAGTGTTGCGATCATGGTCGTCATGCAGTTCCCTCCCAGACTGTCTCTTAGGACACTGGTCATCATGGAGTTCCTGTAGGGAATGTGGGAACGGTGTTTTTCTGAAAGAGCAATGATCACCTGTGGCACAGTAGAAAAATAATGGCATTAGATTAGCAGAAAATGCACATTTGACAGTCAACTAAGCTGCAATTACAGTAAAAGTATAAACGGAAATCAAAAAATATATAAATGGAAATCATAACTGAATGCGGGGTGGCATCTAAAACTTGGGCCCAGAATAAATATTTTTACCATATTTGGTACAGTAATGGTGGAAGTGGAGGGAAGTAAACTTAAGCAAAAACATACCACCGTGAATGCTGTGATGTTTGGACAGATGATATAACTTGGTACAGAATAGGATATATTATTATCCTGTTCTCAGACATTGGAAAATCCATATAAAAACTCAAGAGTAGGGGCACCTAGGTGACTCAGTTGGTTAAGCATCTGACTCTTGATTTCAGTTCAGGTTATGATCTTGCAGTTCCATGAGATCAAGCCCAGTGTCAGGCTCTGCACCCTGATAATGTGAAGGAGTTTGGGATTCTCTCTCTCCCTATCTCTGCCCCTCCCCTGCTTGTGCTCTCTCTCTCTTTCTCAAAAACTAAATAAACGCTTTTTCTTAAAAACCTCAAGAGTAAATCATGCCAGATTTTTAAAATCCTACCAGGGGCTCCTGGGTGGCTTAAGTCGGTAAAGCGTCCGACTTTCACTTAGGTCATGATCTCGCGGTTCGTGAGTTTGAGCCCCACGTCGGGCTCTGTGCTGACTGCCAGCTCAGAGCCTGGAGCCTATTTCAGAGTCTGTGACTCCCTCTCTCTCTGACCCTCCCCTGCTCACGCTGTCTCTCTCTCTCTCTCCCTAGAAATAAATAAAAATAAATAAAAAAATAAAAAAAAAATCCTACCAAAATTGATCTATATGACCCAAGGAAGAAGAGGTAGAACAGTACATAAGAACTATGAGAGACAGCAGGGGTTAGTGGTGGAGGCCTGAGAATCTGGTGCCACACTGTCCAGCTCCAAAATCCTAGCCTTACTAGGACAGGTCACTCAACATCTTTGCCTCAATCTCCTCAACTGTAAAACAAGAGATAATATCTCCCTCATAGGGAGCTGAGATGATTGAGAGTCAAACTGCACAAACTGCTTTAAGAAGCACCTAGCTCATAAGAAGTCCTCTATATGTGTTCACTACCATTCTAAGTGATGGGGGAAGTTCATGTTGGTTCAGCTGAGTCTTGCTCGTCTTACTTTTCACGAGTGTGTTAGGTACTTAATGGGAAGGTCTGAGCTGGATAGAAGGCTGCTGTGGGGGTGTCCCCAAAGGGAGCCACCAGGGGTTCAGGGTTTCCCTGGAAAGATGAACACAGTGCTAGGATGTCCATCCCAAGCATCAGAAATAAGTCATACACAGATGTGATCTGAGGGGGCCCTGACTCTAGAAAATACTTCTGCCAACACCTGCCACCATGCTGATCCTCCCTGCTCTCAGCTGTGTAATTAGCTCCATCAGAACCTCTTCTACTCTCTTGGTTTACAAAACAAGATTGTATTTGAAGGCTGTTCGGGGCAAAAACACATAATACCACTGGGTCTCACTTTATTTTCCTGACCACAGATTTTATTACAAACCAGGTATCCTGTGATATTCTCTCAATAATTACTTCTCCACTCTCAGAAATTAGGCCTTCACATCTTATCCCTTCGTTTAAAACCTCCTTGCAGCCTCCTCTCCCTGCCTTTAGTCTGAGCTGATGGTCACACACCTTCTATTAGAAGTGAACAGCCTGGGGCTCCTGGGTGACTTTGTTGGTTAAAGCATCCAGCTCTTGGTATCTGCTCAGGTCATGATCTCACGGCTTTGTGGATTCAAGCTCTGCACTGGGCTCTGCACTGGCAGCATAGAGTCACCTTGGGATTCTCCATCTCCCTCTCTCTCTCTCTGCCCCTCTCCCACTCATGCTGTCTCTGTCTCTTGCAACATAATAAACTTGGAAGAAACAATAAAAAGTAAGCAGCCTGACCAGAGCTATCTCATGTCCCACCACTAATTCCCTCCTGACCCTCTGCCCTTCCTTGTGTCACTAAACTGCTCCTTCTAAGGCCAGTCCCCCATCTTCTTACCTTCTCCCTCTTCTCGTTTTACCTACCTCGCTTATACAGTTAACTCTTCTTTTCTGCATTAATTTGTTTCTCTCAATTGGATCATTCCTATCCTGCCTGCCCACTACAGTCTAAAAACTAAGATGGTTCTTGCCAAGGTTATCAGCAACCCCTGTTATACAGAAAGTGTTTATTGCCATCTTATTAGACTTCTGAGTTGAGTAAGCATTCAACACAGGTACTCACTGCCTCTTTTCAGAAACACTTCGTTCATTGGTAATCAGGACACCACACTTCACTGGTTTTCATCTTTCCTCAAACACTAGTTAATGAATGCTTCCTTTTCTTCTTCCTAAATTATAAACATTGGAGTGTCCCAGGGATCAGTCCTTGATCCTCCTCTCTTTCCCTATGGTATCTCATCCAATCCTCTGGACTTAAATACATATATATCCTGACATTTCCCTAGTTTATATCATCAGTTTCCACCTGTTCCCTGAGCTACTATTTCTGTGGCAACCCTAAACCTCCACTTGGATGTCTATCCTTGACCTTCTCTCCCCTCTTCCCCCAAATCTCATTCTTTCCCAGGCTTTACCCATCATTATTAAAGGCACCACCATCCACCCTGTGGCTCAGGCTAAAGCCATGGGCATCATCCTTATTTCCCCTCATTTCCGACATCCAATTCCTTAGAATTTTTATTAGTTTTACCTAAAAAACACACCCAGAATTGGACCACTTTCCCCCACTTCTTCTGCCACCACTCCAGGACAAGCCTCCATTATCCTTTCCTTGGACAACTTCATAAGGTTTTTCAATCTTTGCTCCCAGGGTCTACTCTCCACAGAGAAATCTTTATACAATATAAATTACATAAAGTTACTCCCATGTTTACAACCTTCCAGCAGCCTCCTGAAGCACTTTACCAGAATGGCCCAACTCCTGTGTGATCTGGTCCCTGTCTACCTATCTGTCCTCATCTTCTGTTGTGCTTTCATAGCCCACCTTTGGCCTTGCTGTCGCCCCACCATACCAAGACTATCTCCACATCACTGCCTTTGACTTTGTGGTTCCTTTTACCTAGAATGTTCTTGCTGCTCAGGTTTTCACATAGCTTCCTGCTTTACATTATTCAAATCTTTGCTTAAATTTTTGCCTCCTCACAAGGCTTTCACTGAACGGCTAGTCAAGAGTAACACACCTATCTCCAGGCTATCAATATATTTCCTTTTTCTTCTAGTACTTACCACAATTTGAAATTATATTCACTTATTTACTTTTTTAAAATCTGCTTCCTCAATTGACTTTCAGCTCTATTAGGGAGGGGACCTTGGTTTCCCTCATTCACAGTTCCACCTCACTGCCTAGAGCAGTGTCCAGCCCCCAGTCCATGGGACAGAAACTAAGTTGTTTCACTCAGCTCTCAGAGAACCCCCATTCTAGATTCACATCCTAGTCTCTCTTATGACTCAACTTGCCACACGAGACCTAGCTCCATCAAAAGGACACCCTAGTGTGGAACTGGGAGGTGAGTCATGAGAGGTGGTGGCTACAAGGAGGAAGATCAGATTTGTAGGAGACAAGGAGGAAGATCAGATTTGTAGGAGAGTGTGGTGGCAAGGGCATTTGGTTCCTTGGAGGCAGCTGCAGTAACTTTCTGGAATCCAGGATTTAATGTTCTGAGTGCCAACTGGGGATAATGGTGATGTTTTGCAGAGTAGCTCAGCGGTGTGGCTGGAGGTGTCTCCTGTTTGCTCTGCTCCTAGCTGGGCAGTATCCAAGCCCAGCTCTTGAATTTTCTGGACGCTCTTTATGTTTAATAAACTCTACACAGTTTAAATTAGCTACAGTGGGTTTTTCGGTTTACAACTAAGGAATCTAATACAATATGCGCTTGACACGTTTATGTGAAATGAGTGAACAAATAAATGAGTAGACTAATTAGCTTCACCTAGGAAGACAGCACAAGTGTCAATAGTATGCAATGGGATTTGGCAGAAGTGAGTTTTGATATAATCGGAAAGGAAGTGGAGAACATAGCAGACCCAAATCTGAGTGGCATGGTGGTACCAGGGGATGCTGAGTAGAACTCCAGAGCCTCAGAGCCGAGAGGACAAATGAAATATCTGTAACAAGCAAGGCAGGCCCCAACGTCGAATACCAGAGGGAGCAGTTGGTCAGATGGATGTGCCAAGAGGGTGGCATTATTGCTTGTGAATCATAATTAAGTATCTAACAGTGTTCTAAGCACTTTGAAATTCTTTCATAAAACAAGTGTCACTATTTTTTTTCCCGTTTCAGGAAACAATATTAATATCTCTTCTATTCAACAACCTGATGACAACTTAGATGACATAAAAGAGAATACGCTTATTAAACTTCCTGTTGGTATTCAATTAAATGGAGTTTTTAACTTGCTTTTGGTTGCAATGACAGAAAATGTACAAACTGGATTTAATCATAAGGGAGATGTATTGGCCCATGTAACTGGGCAATAGGAATAGGGCAATAGGAATGTTTTAAGTTACACATGACCCAAAAGGTCAGTGTTACCACCGAGGACTTAGTTTTTGCTAATACCTGCTCTACCTTCTATGTTTTAGAAGTCTGCCTCTCTTCATGGCCACCGGACGGCTGCCCAATGTCTTTATTTATAACTGATGTGATAAAGATCTCTAATCATTAAACATACATCCTAAGCTTTCCTAGGGACCAACTTGCGTCACAGGCCCATCTCTGAACCACTCACTATGGCCAAGGCCACACCTAGCTTACACTAGTCAAGGTCTACTCTTAGAGCTGGGATGGGCCCCTGGCTGCTACTCCTGCAATGAGTGTTATAGAACCAATCCCAATGTCCTTTCTAGAAAGGGCTCTAAAATTGTTCAAGAGCATAATTAAAATTCAAAATGGGATTATGGATTGGAAAGCATGGTCTTTAAAAATGGGGAAAATGAAAGCAATGCATAGTAAAAGAAAGAACCCAGGATTCAGAGGCAGAAACCAGCTGTATGTTTGTGTGATTTTAGGCGAATCTCTTACCTTTATTGGCCTCTATTCCCTTACCTGTAAAAGTGGGATTAGAATGGCTGTCTATCTCACAGAAATGTTTTAAAGATGAATAGAGACCATTTCTGGGATACTAAAACAAAAAGCACGCCATGTTTGCAGGAGTGTCAAGGCTATGTTCTTTATGATCCCTTTGGACACTTGCTACAACCATATAAACCCAGTTCTCGGCCATTTTTCTCCAAGAGGGCTCTTCTCAGCTCTAAAGGAGTTTGGAGATACCATAACAAGCCCAGACCCCTTGGAGCAGATACAGATCTTCAGAGCGACCCAGAAATGACCAGTATCTGGGAGAGAGGCAAAGGTAGGTTATTTTTTGTGGGGCTACTTTGGGCTCTTGAATTAGGCAGGCACCAAATGATCTGCACGGCACAGGGTAAGGAGGTGGTATACAACCTGGATTCTTTGTTATTAGTGTCTACACCCATTTGGGATTTCATGTATAAACACAACAACATGTTCCTGAAGGCATTCTTTAAGCAACAAAGAGTGGAAACTCACATTATACTTAACAATATCTCCAACTACCTTGAAACTATGCCTAAAATCAGTAACTCAAATTGCTATTTTAATGAATTAAAGAGATTTTTCTTTAAGGAACTCAGAAGCACATGGAAAATTAGCCTCTGAAAATTGATAATTATTTGGAGTGGTTACAACTGGCACTGGCACCATTAGTTTTTCTCCTGAACACGCATATTCAGTGGAAGCCAAATGGAAACCAAAACTCTGGAGAAGTCCCACTTATGGGAGATAACTGGCTGAAGGAGACCCTGATCCTGATTTTTGTAGAGTCAGAGAGCAAACACTCTGTTCCCAGTGGTTTCTCACTTGATGTCTGGGCTGACAGAGACTGAGGGTCACACCAGGAGCACTGGGTGAGGCTTATGCATGTCCCCTTCCTTTTCTTCCTAGACTTAATTTCTAGGGCCAAGATGTACCCGGTTATTGTGGCTTAAAATGTTTTTGAGGAGACTTTTTGGAAAGAGTACTGCATACACAGGAAGATTCCAAAACCAACAATGCTCTGACAAACAGAAATTTATTTACTTATGAGCACAATAAGGTGCATTCAACTCAGAAAGGCTGTGACCCAAGAGCAGGTGTAAGGTCCATAATTGTGGCCAGAAGGGCAGTGATGGTTCTGGGTGGAATTTCTATAATTAGTGTGGGCTAATAAATGTAAGAGAGGTAGGCAAATTGTCTATTTTCTAGGATATCTCCATATATATATTGAAACTGAGATGGAGAGGATGCAATTAATTACAAACATTTAATTTCTAGTAAAGCATTTATCTGACTGTATGTAAGGATTTTTTTATTTTTGAAAGAATGAGAGAGAGCCTGTGCACACGAGTGGGGGAGGGGCACATGGGGAGAGGAAAGATGGAGAGAGATAGGGAGAGAGAGAAAGAGAGAATCTCAAGCAGGTTCTGCTGTGGAACCAGTGCAGAGCCCAACTGTGGGGCTCGATCCCACAACCCTGGGATCATGACCAAAGCCAGAATCAAGAGTCAGATGCTCAACTGACTGAGCCATACAGGTGCCCTGTAAGGATCTGTTTATTTGCTTTGCTCCTTCACTGGATAACACAATAGCATAGACTATTTTCTCACCCATTCATTTATTTCCATTGCCTAACATAACTTGTAGCACTTCATGGACACTGAATCATAATTTGTGAATGAATGAATGAATGAAGTGAGTTAAATTGTGTTACACTTCCAGTCTCATTAGCCCCATAATAAAGTCCAACGTAAAGAAAAACTGTGTACAAAAGTCCTGTTATTTCATTAATAGTATCTGCCTGCTCTTCTTATTATTCCCATTCTCCTATACTCCTTAGTTCTCTCTCACTTAACTCTTTCTGCGTGAAATTCCAGAATTTCTCTACTACCCACTTACTTCCTCTCTAGCCACAACTCCTAGATTTATTCAACCTCACACGTCTACATCCACTCACATACTCCAGTTTCCTACATTAGTGTCCCTCTTCACTCTCAAGCTAACCTTCCCCTTATCTCTCTCTCCCTTATCTTATGCTATCACCTCCATGAAGACACTTGTAGATCAGTGGAAGTAGTTAACAGCTAGAGTGGCACAATGGGTGAATATGAAACAGATCATTTACATTCTGAAAGCCAAAGGTCAATAACATGTGAATGTCACGCTGGCCCTGGGTCAATGGAGCCCCTGGACTGGAGGTAAGGGCTGGCAGACTCCTACTTCCCACTCCCTGACATACTCTAACTCCAGCCCTGCCTGGTTCCCTCCTACTCGTTCTTCGAATCTCTGCTTAGTATCAGTCCTGAGAGAACGTTCATTCCCTCCGCCCTTCTCAGTCCAAGTCTGATCCCCCATTACACGCTCTCCTCGCCCCTTGGCCTTTCTCTGCATAACTCACTAAAGCCAAGTGTTTAATGAGTATTTATTCCATGCACATCTCCCTGCACTGGCCCCGGAGACCTTTGGGGCAAGGACCGTTTCTGCTTTGCTTGGCACTATGCTCCAGTGCCTGGAGCAGTCCTTAGCATGCTACTGCTCCTTATGAATGTTTGATAAGTAAATAAATTCGTCATACATAAAATCCAATGCACAGAGCCACCAAGACTACCCACATGAAGCTCGTGTTGTAAGAATTTTGAAGAGAAGAGATGTAGGGAGAGAAATAGTTTTAATGAGAAGTAGCAGCTTACAAAGTTGTGCTAGAATGAAGGGAGAGGACTAGGGGCAGAATGTTTTCCTTGAGTGTTAACAATTGGTGGGAATTCTGATTCAACTAATGAAAATAATCTTGTATGAACAGATGGGCATGATGGGAATTCAAGCAGACAGTGCTACTAACTGAAGCAACTAGGTATATTTCTTTGAAATAAAGCACTTTGAATACAGTCCATTATGTTTTTATATCAACGTTTTGTAAATGTCCTATTAAGTAAAAGCTCTGTTAAGTAAAAGTAGTGTGTAATATTTGAGTAAGGAAGAGCTAGGGAAGGCTGAATCTTGTCAGAAACACTAGAATGATTTGAACACCGTGCAGGCCATTAATCTCTGGGTGCTACATGACTGGGCTTATTTGGTCAGAGCCTAACTGCATGTACCTTGTTCAGATACAGTTCCCTGAGGTTTCTCTCAATCTGCTTTTTCAGCCAACTTGACCATTAGAGAGCATTTACCATCAGGACAATGTCAGTCTCAAAAGGGTTCATTAGGCAGTAAGGGTGGGGGGTGCATTTCTGTTTGTTTTTTCAAATCTTTTAGCCTCCAACACTCATTAGCAAGTCCTTCTGCCTTGCCAATATAGTCTGCACTTCTCTACTCCAGTTTTTAATCATGTTTCTCTTTTTTTTCCCTTAGAATTTGGAAGTACTTGCCATCTTTAACATTCAACTCACAGCATTTCACTCACAGACCTTAAAGAAACTTGAGGAATCAACCAATTCAGTATGCTCATTTTAAGGGGATGAGGATTTTTTTTTTCTGGAAAATTTATTTGGCTAAATTCAGATGAACTTTTTTTATCATTTAGGAGTCAAAATCAGAAATAAAAAAGAGAACACACACTGGGGTAGATCGTAATGAACATGGGGTAGGGGTCTGGAGGAGAGGCTAAAACAGAACCATCGCAGGATCACAATCAACAACTCAAGTCACCAGAAGCTGAAAAGATATCGGTCATCTCTAAATTATGTTCCTACAGCTAAGCCATTGCCCTGAAAAGACAGGCCACAGGAGGCCATTTATAACCTATTTTCACACTCATTACAAACTTTACAATAGAAGCAATAAGGTATAGTGAGAAAACACATAGGCTTTGGAGCCAGGCAATTCAAGATTCAACTCCTTGCCTTACTGCTAGCTGGTAACCTTGGGAAGGCCTCAGGAAGATCTGAGTTTTAAAATCTATAAGATGGAAATAACAAATACCTTACAGTGTAGGGCTCTTGTAAGGTTTAAGTGAAATGGTATAATCAAAATGCTAGTAGCTACCCCAATGTTCACAGCAGCATTATTCACAAGAGCCAAAAGGTAGCAACAACCAAAACGTCGATGGATAAGCAGATAAACAAGACATGGCGTGTACATATAATGAAACATTTCCCAGCTTTGAAAAGGAACGGAATTCAAATACATGCTACAACATCTGATGGGCTTTGAAGACATTACGCTATGGGAAATAAACCAGACAGAAAAGGACAAATATTGTGCATTCCACTTATATGAGTATCTAGAATAGGCAAGTTCATAGAGACAGGAAATAGAATAGAGGTTACCAGGTATTGGAAGCATAAGGAAATGGAGCATTGCTACTTAATAAGTACAGGGTTTCTGTTTGGGGGCATAAAAACAAGTTCTGGAAATGGATGGTGGTGATGGATGCACAACATTGGGAATGTACTTAATGACACAGAATTGTACACTTAAAATGATTAAAATTATGAAGTTTATGGTATGTATATTTTACCACAATAAAAGAGGAAGAACAAAAAACAAAAATGCTAGCAGAGTCCCCAGCAAAGTGTGTCAGGAAATGGTAGATATAGTTAATCCCATTGTGCCCATTTTACCTGTTCTAAGTAATGAAGGGACAAGTTGATATACTTGGCCTCTGTTAGAAGTTGGCCTCCCATTCCAGTCTTTGCAACTCGCTCTGAACCAGCCAGATCAACCAAGTGAAGTTTGGCATGGCGGACAGTCGCAGATCCTGGCTTCTTGCTTGATAAGTGAATAGTGAAAATGCAGTGGGAACGAGTTGAAGCTTGGTTCATCGGAGTCTAAAAAAAAGGAAATTGTAAAACAAAATGAATGTGAACAATGAGAATTTTTGCACTTTTTCAAAAAAATTGTTTTAATATAATTTATTGTCAAACTTCCTAACATATACTATGTAAAGTGTGCTCTTGGTTTTTGGGGTAGATTCCTGTGGTTCATCGCTTACAAATAATACCCAGTGCTCATCCCAACAAGTGCCCTCCTCAATGCCCATCACCCATTTTCCCCTCTCCCCCACCTGCCCATCCACCCTCAGTTTGTTCTCTGTATTTAAGTGTCTCTTATGGTTTGCCTCCCTCTCTTTCTGTTTATAACTATTTTTCCTCTTCCCTTCCTCCATGGTCTTCTGTTAAGTATTATGCTGAGTGAAATTAGTCAGTCAGAGAAGGACAGATATCATAATCCTTCACTCATATGTGAATCTTGAGAAACTTATCAAAATGTTTAAATTTATGTTTCTGACAGTATATTTCCAATGAAGCCAGTGCTGTCCAATGCAACAAAAACAGTCTTAGCTGAGACCCTTTAAATTCAGTTATTTTTAATGTACTGTCTCTAAAGTGAATGACAACAGTTGATTCAGAAAGTGAGGAAAGAGTTTGAATAAGCTAAGGCTTGGGTCTACTCACGAATATGATAACTTAATTTCATTACATGACCACAGTTCCCACCTTAACCTTGGCTAGCCATATTGCAGATGCTTAATGTCAATGTCATGGGAAAAAGGTGAGAATGGGTACATTGGGAGAATTCATTACACACTTCTAACACACAACCCACAGATGAGGATGCCCAGTATCACTGCTACTACCCAACAGTGAACACGGGGTCCCAGTCAATGCAATAAACAAGAAAAAGAAATACAAGTCATTGTGACAGGAAAAGAAGAGATGAAAACATCATTATGTACATAAAATATGGTGGTCTACAAAGAATATGCAGGAGCATCTATATACTGTTAAAAACTAAGTAATTTAATAAGGTCGCTGGATGCAACATCAACACACCAAATTAGCAAAGTTCTAATAACCCAGCGATTATTAATCAGGAAGTATAATATTACTTATAATGGCAACAAAGACAAATAATGGGGAATTAATATTATTAAATATGTGATTTGTAGGAGAAATGATAAAATAATATTAAAAGATACAAAAAGAAAACCTAAGTAAAAGATGTCCTAGATATTAATAAACCATGTCATAGATGGGAAAACTGAAAATTAATCTGTATATTAATTTCTCTATATTAACCTCTATAGCCAATGCAATTGAAATAAAAATACCACATGTTACGTTTGTGGAACAGGACAAACAACTTGATTCTAAAAACTAGATGGAACAAACATAAAAAAGCAAACACAAAACAAAACAAAAACAATTCTGTGAAAGAACAACAAGAGAGGGGGACATGTCCTGCTATACATCAAGGTATAGTATAATGCCATAGTAATTAAAACAGCGCAGTATTGCTGCAGGAACAGATAATGAGATCAGTGAAACATGTTGGGCTCATTTAGAAACTCTGTAAAGGACAGAAGTGACATCACACCATAATGGAGAAAGGAGAGACTAATCAACAAATGCTGCTGGAATAATTGGCTATCCATCTTGAAAAATAAATAAATTTAGGCTGCTTCTCACACTTGATACACAAATTCCAGAATGTATTAAAGACTGAACTTATGTGTAAAATAACACAATTTTATCACTCATATAAGAAAATCTGGAAGCATATCAGGACCAACCCAAGGTAGTCATGGATCTTTTATGATAAGATATTAAACACAAAAATGAATTTATTAGGCAAACCATGAGAGACTCTTGAATGCTGAGAACAAACTGAGGGCTGATGGGGGTGGGTGGAGGGGAAGGGGGGGACGGGCATGGAGGAGGGCATTTGTGGGAATGAGCACTGGGTGTTATATGGAAACCAACTTGACAATAAACTATTTAAAAAAAACAAAAAACAAAAAAACAAAAAATAAAAAAAACAAAAAATGAATTTATTGAAAGTATTTGATCAAATTATCCCAAAGTAAAGAACTTCTGGGTGATAAAATCTACCACAGAGTTAGAAGGCTGGGAGTTGATGTTTACAGTCCATATAGTTGATAAAAGATTAATGTTTGAAAGAACCTCTACACATCAATAAGAAAAAGACAACCCAGCAAAAAAAAAAAAAAAAAAATGAGCAAAGGATATGAACAGGCAACCCACAGAGAGGAAACCTGAAAATGGTCAATAAGTATTTGAAAAAAAAAAAAAGCTCAAACTCACAAATAATCAGGACAAACAATTAGAGCCATAATAATAAAGTGTTTTTCTCACCCCCATTAGACTAGAAACTTTTAAAAAATGAAGTCTAACAAAACAAGCTTTGTAAAGATAAAAGGAAGCAGGAACATTTATATACTGCTGGTGGCACTATAAATGAAGCACCCATTTTTGAGGAGCATTTTGACAGTATTTGGTAAGGTTGCAGATGGATATAACCCACAACCCAGCAACAGACTCCGAGGTGTATTCCTGGAGAGAAGTCTGGAACAAGTCCCACTGGGGGAGAGTGAACAGGGGTGGGTGGTATGCACACATATGAGGCATTCACTGCCCCATTGGTATAAGATATATAACCTAAGTGAAAATCTGTGTAGTAGAGATGAAAAAACTGGGATAATTTCAACTATAGAGAAGTCAAAATGAAGCACTCTTCGGATAGATGGACAGATGGGTTTCTGAAATGCTGATGAGAAATAGCATGTTAAAGAATGATGTAAACTCCAATGATCAAAATGATATCTATGACAGAACTCAGGTGCTCAAAAAGCAGTATCACCTAAAAACTTCATTCATGGCTCTAGAACTTAGGTATTAAAAGTATAAAAATATGGACTGGAAGAACAAATTAATTACATTAATTATTTTTTGTTAATAATTAACAAATTAATAAGTATATATTATTATAATTTATAATTTATTTTAATATTCTCATGATCAACAATTAATTAACAAATTAATGCTAATGGTTGCCTCTTTGAGGGATACAAAGCAAAAGGCCAACAAGAGGGCTTCAGCTGTATCTGTAATATCCTATTTATTTAAAATTATCAGAAGCTGGCACCTGGGTGGCTCAGTCAGTCAAGCATCCAACTTTGGCTCAGGTCATGATCTCATGGTCCCTTAGTTTGAGCCCCGTGTGGGGCTTTGTGCTGATATCTCAGAGCCTGGAGCCTGCTTTGGATTCTATGTCTCCCTCTCTCTCTGCCCCTCCCCTACTTGCACTCTGCTCTCTCTCAATCTCTCAAAAATAAACAAACATAAATTTTTTTAATTATCAGAAGCAAATTCTGATATCTAAAAATAAAATTTAACTAACAGTATTCCAAATGACTGTTCATGTAAGTAAGTGTGTGCAGCTCTCCATCTCTGGAAAAATGGGATTTAATGAAAGAATTTCCATATGGATGCACACATATTCAGATAGGGTAACACACTCGGATGCTATTTTAACCCGAAATTCTTTCCATAAATCTGAGTTCTTGTTATACACCATTGTTGATTTACACCAACTACCAAAATACACAGATGTCAAAATCCTGGCATTGGGTTGGTGATGATGATAATGTAGCCAGTGAGTTAAATAGGCTGAAAATGTGACCCATTACTCTTTGCCACAATAACCATACCCAGGTCTGGCCAGTGTGGGATTTTGCATGCTGAAGTGGATCAGCAAATAGCTGTGCCTGTAAAACCGCAAACTCAAATTTAGAACCTAAGTTGAGGTGTCTCAAAAGCGACTGGAAGTTATTTGCAGAACTTAAACATGGGTTTCACGTCACTGTTATATGCGCCCTGCGATAAATTCTACAGTACTGAAACAAAAGTCACACTGACAATCGATAGAAATGAAGAACACAGAGACTCTCCCCAACAGCTGTCTTCAGCTTCCAAATGGATGCGCGGAAGTCGCAATAAAATGTGGCCCATTAGCAAATAATGGAAGAGTGCACCTATTTCAAAGAAATGTGAGACTTACATCAAATTAAATTGTATTTCTGGAGTCTGTAATTAAAATGCAGTAATATGCTGTAGGAGTCCATGCCTACAATTTTGTAACTTCTCATAAATATTTCCTGCATGAAGTAGTAGTTGGTGTCCTCTTAGCTAAAATTTTCTTAAACCTCAGAAAACATTCTTTATGTGTAGCTGTTGAAGTGTGATCGAATGTGCTGGTGTCTGCTCTGTGTTTATTTAAGGGTGTCTATATGTCTCACAGGCATGCCCCGACATTTGTCCTTTTAAAGGTAAAATCATATTAAAACATTTCTGAAACTCCCTAAGAACAGATGGCACCATTTAGGCAGATTCATTCAAATTTAAGTGCACATTTTAAACAAATGTGCTCTTGGCACTAGAGACTGTGTCTCTGGAAAAAATGTTAGTGATGATTAATCATCTGCATGCAGAGAGCTTTCACATTTCATATCAGTCTATGATACAGCTCTGCATTAGGCAGCACAAAGTCTACAGGGAAAATAAGACATAGACCTTGCCCTCAAGAAATTTATAATTTAGTTCAAGAGCTAAAGACAAAACAAGTGAAATGAGAGAGAGTGATGAAAAAAAGGCAAATGTGCAATAAAGTGGTCTGTTCTCAGAACTGAGCATCCTGACCCTCTAGGTAGTACCTAAGAATGCTAACCATCTCTTCCCCTCCTTGGTTTCTCTCTACCCACCCTGCACCTCCTTGGTTTCTAGAATCAATACAGTCCTGGCATTTTCTTTCTTAACTGCTCTCCTTTTCCTTTATTGGACACTTTTCTTTCTAGTCCCAAAAACAGGCAGGTCCCAAGCTATGGTCATCATATTTCTTCCCCTTGGAAAGCTCTTCGTCTATGGCTCTGATTATCACTAGATAGGTACTGTAGTGTAGTTTAAAAGTCACACCAAAGATCTTAGAAGGTGGTATTAGAACACCTGGTTTCAATTCCTGTGTTTCGTCA